TTTTTTTTTTTTTTTTTTTTTTTTTTTTTTTTTTTTTTTTTTTTTTTTTTTTTTTTTGTATGTGGGATATTGAGTGATTTCAAATTCTAAACGAATTTTAAATGAACTTTGTTATTTATCAATGAAATTGAATGATATTTTTCCTATAATTTTTTCTTTCTCAAAATAGTCATGTTTTGCAAGATTTCTTAGAATTTTGAAGTTACTTAACATCATGTCTATGAAAATATCCATAAAATGTCAATGCCTATGGATAATTCTGAAAAAATTATGAAACAAAAAATTAGGAAAATATATATTTGAATTAATAAATACATATTTTACGCTTTTTAAATGTGTTAAAATACTTATTATTAACATGAGAGAGGGAGATGGAGAGAGAAAAAAAGAAGAGGTTCCTTGACAAATGTGTAGTCTTAAATAGTGAACACTGAAGTTGTTGAACAGTGGACTGTTTGGTGTAAATAAATCAGGGGTAAAAAACTTAGTAGGCCAAACGTGGAGTTGTTTATTTCCTTTATTTTATATTTAGGTATAATTGTTTATTTGTATGAATTAAAAGCTTGCCCCTTCACGAAAAAGCTTTTAGCCTCATCCCTGCTTGGGACCTTATGCCATCTTTAGGTTGACATTGCTAAGTTTTCTGCGCTGAGTTGTCTAATTTGTCTTGTTTGAGTATAAGCTTGCTCCTTGTCACCCCTCCATTTTGAATTCCCCCTCCCCCCCATAAATACTGCTGTTTCTCATCTACTAAAATAAAATGCAGGGTTTTTTTGTTACTTTTGTCTAATTAAACATTCTCAATTTAAATCAATGCCTCTTTCGAGAGTCATAATTGCATGCCAATTCTCATGACAGTTGAACATGAAGACAAATTATTCTCATTGCTCGAGTGCAGGGACTGCTTAATTTTGCATGTGGATCGTTTGAGTGTCTTCAATTTCTATTTCGCACATATCTCATGTCATTTATCAGTTTTTTTTTTTTTTTGGTATCCATAATGCTATTGCAAATGCCACTCAGTCAATTGCAGCCGCAATTTTTTCCCCTTATTTCATGAGCATTCCAGCCATAAATAATTTTAGCTTTCTTAATGTCTATTGATAGATAATCTGATAAGAAACGTGGCTAATCTTATTATCTGAGTGAAACACTTTTTTGATTTTTGATTCTGTACGGTAACATAGAAGAATTATGTTATATCTGATTCCACCATGGTTGCATGAATTACCAACTTTAAAAGACTAATTCTCGCATTTGGTAATATCTTTTGCTGAACACTTTCAACTCATTTTAATGTTGCAGATATCAAATCGCCAGTTGATCCCAAGTTTATGGAGGGTTTTGGTATGTCATTTTTGTTGCCGTTCCGTTGGTTCTCAAATTTAAAAGGGTTAAAACTTGCTAGACTCTCTCATTAGATCGCTCCCGTAAATTTGATAATAGGCTGTCAGGTCTCTAAATACACACACACACAAAAACGTAAAAACATAAAAACATAAGATACTAATATATTACAAAATACTAAAATATTGTAATATTAAACAGATATTAAACAGTAAGTATAGCCTTTGGAGAGGGCTATTTCTCCCAAGTCCCACAATGGACACAACACTAAAATAATCCACACCCTCTAAAGTTCTAACACTTATTTATAATCAAGACATCCCTATCTATTACCACTATGCTCCTTGTTGATATATTACTAATCCCAACATTTTCATACTGGTACTCTCAGATTATCCTATTCTTCAAAGCAACCTTGTCCTCATAGTGTGTTTTAGAAGATACAATCCAAATAAAAAGAAAGAATGGCAACGATCAAAATAATACTCTTTTTTTAATTTTTATTTTGAATACAAAAACGAAGAAAACATTCTTCAGGAAACGAAAATAAGCATTCATTAAAACAAAACCCAGCTGGTTGAAATTCACATTCTGCATTTTGCTATAAATATTGAGTTTTGCAATACTTGTTCACACAAATTTAGGATTTGTATAATGTTTTTGATTAAAAATTGAGGCGGATGCTTTATGCCACTTCGAGGCTTGCACCTCGCTTCAAGAGGAAAAGACTCAAGTATGCATTAAGCCTTTTAAAACATTGATGACACAAATTTATTAGGTATCTGAACACAGAAAAACAAAATATACTAATATATTGCATTATCGAAGACAAACTACAATATAACTATAGCCCTTCGAGAGGGCTCTCACTCCCAAGTCCCACAAGGGATACACCACTAAAATGATAATCATCCTCTAAGGTCCCTAGCAGTTCTATTTATAACCTAGACATCTCTAACTATTTACCACCATTGATATACTACTAATCTCCACACATCTTATTCTAGTATTTTAATGACTGCGTTTCATTTCCATGAGATGCTTATAGACTTTAATACTTTTAATTTTAAGCTTGGTTGTTTAATTTTGATTTATGAAACAATAGTTGAGCTTAAGCTTTCTATATACTCTTCTAATGCCCCAAATTTTAGGAAAATAATTTTTTTTTTAATTGTTGGGAGATTAAATTGAAATCGATAGAATTGAAGTTATTGGAGATCTAATTTGAGTAAATTAGATTTATGAAGATAATCAGTTTTTGGTTTATTTCAGAATTGAGCCCAGAGGAATCTGAAGATGTTCTTTTCAAAGAGGTACTAATTCAGTCTCTTTTGTATAACCTATTTTTCCGTTGCATGACATATAAGTGGTATTTTTGAATGGTTAGAGTCGTTAGACTATGTTGGTTGGTGGTAATATTTTCTCTCTGAAAAATAAATGCCGAGAACTATTTAACGTAAGTTAGTACATTGCTATCCCTGTTAGAATATTCTTTCATAGCAAACCAACGCCCATCATACATTCACGTGGCTGTCACTTGAGAGCAACTCTCTGTGACCATTGTCACGGTCAGAGCACCTTTGTTCACAAGTACTGAGTTCTCTTTCGCAAGCTACTTGATTAACGAGTGGAACTGCCATTAACTTAAGATAGGTTTACGCTGAGCTACCTAACAACAGAATAAAAAGTGGCAAATAATTTCCATATTTTTCTCTTCAATTTCTGTTTGACATGCTTATGTCATAAACGTTCTGATTATACATGTGATACATTCTTGGCATCCAGGCATGGCTTACATATTTTTGGAGAAGAGCCAAAGCTCATGGTATCGAAGAGGATATTGCAAAAGAACGACTTCAATTCTGGATCAGTCGCAGTGCTCACTCTCCTTCATCTCATGATGCAGCTGAAGGTAAGTTTTGATGAGCTCAATGACTTAACTTTGGAATAGATTTATATCATGTTAACTGGAGAATTTTGTTACGTACTGCTGCATAATATCCTATACTTGCTCTCCTTTCATTTTCTTACCTTCCTCTTTTTCTTTTACTGTGTGTGTGTGAACGCCAATTTTCAGTTGAGCAAGGCCTCATAGAGCTTAGGAAGTTGGGGATTGAGCGTAGAATGTGGGAAGCATCACGTAAAGAGAATGCTTGAAGAGCTCGACCCAATGACAGCCTTGGATAATGCATCATTCTGATTCCGAGGACTCGTTTTTCCAATTATGAAATGTTGTGGTCCTTTTCTCCAAGACATGGGAATAGCAGTTGTCTTATCTTTTTGGATGGGGGCTGGGGAGGGGTCTCCTTTTTCATGCTCTATCTATGTTGATGTACCTTCTTTCTCCTAATATAATATATGCATCACATGCACTGAAACCACTGATGGAATTTAGGGAAAAAAAATCACTTCCTGGTTCAAGTATCCAGTACTCATAACTAACCTAGGAAGGAGATGAGGTTAAAAAAGAAACTGATAGCTTTAGCTGGGAAGGGAAGTTGGTGTTCTGGATGCAAAGCTGCTAAAGGAATCATTTCTTTAAGGAAAGTAAGATTTGGATTATGTTGTTGATTAAATATTTCAAGGTAAGAACATTGTTTGTATTTTAAGAATAGTAGCTTTCCTACTTTAGGATCATAAGAATAGTAGCCTTCATACTTTAGGATCATAATTATCCACGTGTAAATGTGATCTTAAATAAAAATCTTAAAATGCATTAAAGCAAAATCATAATTCTAGATTATCCAAGATTCCAAAATTTGTAATTATCCAAGATTCCAAAGTTTGTAATAAACCTTGATTCCAAAATTTGTAACCCTCCGAGAATAAATAAACTTGATTCTTTTTAATATGACATGAATTGCATCTTGTAATAAGTTTTATAACATTTAATTTCATTATAATATACTCCGTTTTCACGATTTCAATCTCTAATGACTACATGGCGATACTTTCTTAGCAAACTCATGGAAGTCTTTGCATGCTCTGAGGTAAAACCAGGATGGGAGATTTACTTGTGCCAAGATGAGCCCTGAAGTTCGACACCATCTCTGACCATTTTCTCTAAGAGTGATAGAACATCCTGCAGTTCGTTACTTCGTGAAGAGTATCCTACCATCAATCCAGTCCAAGCCACCTTGTTTTTTTTTTTCAGTCATCATATCAAAGACGAGCTCAGCTGCTTCTAACCAACCACACTTAACATACATGTTCATGACTGCAGCCTCGAAGGTCTAACATAGAAGGATCATCAAAGAAACTTAAGAGGCTTGGAAAAATGGATTGGTTGGGGAGGATCATCAAAGAAACATAGAAGGTCCACCTGCACCTTTCTGAACTACAAATTTGTTTCGGGGTTTTTGTGCTTACCAAAATCGGGAGAAAGTGCAAGATTGGAAATTTCATCTTATTCTCGTTCTTTTACGGATTTTGGGCCTTGAATTGTTAGGAGTGGACCGGCCCTAAATGATAGCATGGACCTTGCCATAATGCCTGGGTTGCTTTGCCAAAGTTTCAGAAGTTTTTTCTTTTCAGCCTCGGGCATGGCTTATTCCTGGGTTGATTTTCGGGGTCTTTTCCGCTTCAGTTTCTGTGCATTTGGCTGTTGTTCTGTTTGAGCAGGAATAGGATGGAAAGGTTCTTCCGGTTCTTCTCGGTGCGGCAAATCCAAACTCAATGCGACTCTTCCCACTCAATCATGCTTGTTTCAGGGCCTCCTTCCTGGTACTGCCCCATATCCCTCTCTCGCTTCTTCTTCATTTCGTTGAATTCATTCTAGTTTCCCTCGAAATTTTGCAGCGGAAAGACTTCCTTGCTTTTTCAGTTTGCTTTTAATTTGGGTTTGGAGGGAAATGTTACCTTCATCTGCAACCGCCGCAAATTAGAGAATAAACCTCCATATCTCTCGCAGGCATCTCTCTCCTTGTTTCTGTCTCTGTGTGTTGTGGTCATATTGAATAGAATGTTGCATATTTGCTGAAACTTAGAACCCTTTGGACCTAACATCCAGGGAGTTGATCCAGCATCCGAAACCTTTCAGCGCATACAAATGAAGTCGGTGGTCATTCCATTCTTTATCCTAATTAAATGACGATCGTCCTTCACTTGCTTTACTTGAACGTGTGAATTCTCTAATTCTGACTTCAGGTATTTGGAGGACGACGAGGGAATTAACAAGTACTTCTCTGCATTTCACCTGCATCGTACACTTCCCGTGGCAGTTGTTATTGACGATTTTGGAGATTTTTTCGAGGAAAGGTCTTCATATTTTCCCATGTTTTTTATCTTTTCTCTGTGCATTACTATGTATTTCTGTGGGTTTTTATTCCCTTTTTCATTTCACCTTCTATTTGTAAGGCGATGTCAGGAAAAATATGCCAATCCTCGCGGAAGAGACCTAGCAATGGTTAGAACACTAGCACTTTGTCATAATGCCATGAGCCTAGCGAAGTGGGTTTGCATCTCTCAGAACTTCCAATGAATAAATTACTCTCCTAGATGACACCCTCTTCTTTGCTGCTTCTAACTTGAAAGATTTTTCAGTCAGTGTAGGCCTTGCCAGCTTGTGTTGTCTGATACCCACCACGGAGAGTCCCCAAGGTTGATATTCATTTATAAGAGATGGGTTCCAACCATTTTCACCATTAGAGGTTAGTTTAAGCTGACTGACTGCTCAACCCAAATTCAAAGCAGTTGACCCCATTTTTTGTTATTTGTGTATTGCATGGCAATTTCAGAAAATACAAATGATAAGTGGTGCAAAGTGATTGTGTTGGCTTCTTGATGGTGGTTAACTGATATGCCCTTTTGGCCACCTGTAGTGAACTATTTCTGGTTTATGTTGAAGGTGATGGGTCTGGATGGTTCATCCTGAGAAGTATTAACAATTGTGGAAATGAGTGTTGTTTGAGGACTAAAAGTGCAAAATACTCGATTGCTCTTCAGTTCCTGAGTTTGGAGGAAGTTTCTGAAGACATTACAGAATAATGGATTTCCTTGCAGCTTGAGTACTTCATCATTTGTAAGTCTGTAGGTTGACCTATTCTTTTTAGGAATTATACGCTGATATATTAGTATTTGTTTATGAAGAACAATCTTCTGATATTAGTATCATTATTATATAAACTTGGTGTCTGTTCAACTTTTATGATGGGTGGTTAATTGTTGCCTGTATAATCTTACTAATCAATCAAGTTTTTCCATCATCTCAATTTTGAAACAGCATGAAATTCTTTCAGTTTTCCCACTAAACGAGCAAGCAGTTTTGAGTATTGTTTATGGTAGATTATTGCCTTTCAGCTCCCTGTATTTATCTGAGAAGAGATGGTCTTATGTTCTTTCAGAATATCTAACTCTGTTTTCTACTAATCATTTACAAGCACAAGGGAAAGTCAGCAGAAAAGAAAAGAAAAGAAAAGAAAAGAAAACAACTGAAAGTTGACCCTGGGCTCAACCCTTGTTTACAAATCCTGGTTCCCGTTAAGATTTTATAGTAAACCCCTTTTTGATACTCTGGACCACAGAATTCACCACCCCAGATCATCACAAGCCTCCGCTGGAAAGACTCTGCAACAATCGTTAAATCTCAAGAATAATGTATCATATTGCCTATAGATGTTTAAAGTAGTGTTGCTTCACAAGAAATGAGTTGGTGCAAATGGGTTGTTTTGTTGAGATCTTACGTCTTGGGACGGTCATACTGTCGATACTCTCTATCAACACTGCCCCCCCCTTCTTGGCCTCTGGTTTTAGCTTTACTTCCGGATACATTTCAACATCACAAGCTTCCCCTCCAACAGTGTCACAAGCCTCAGCTGGAAAAGCTCTGTAGAAACAGACACAGAAGAGCAGCAAACGAAAAGGGGTATTGAATCAGACATATTGTAGTCAACTGGTGAAGGGTCTTGTCCAACCGCACTTGCCTTTATTTGTAGGGTGGGACGTTGACGTTGAGTTTGAGAAGTGGGGTGCCTTCGTAGGGACCTCATAGGCATTGAGAAGGCCTTTGATTTGGTGGTTGGTGGGAAGAGAGAGCATGATGATGGAGATGCCAAGGAAAGTGGTGAAGAATGGCTCAATCTGCTGCGAAGTTGATGCTTGGATGCTTCTTTAGAGTAGGATTCAGACGTAAAAAAGGTTAAAACACATAAAGATGGCAGATATCTCGCGACTGGATAAGGTTTTGGACCAATTATTTAGAGGAAAAAAGAAAAAACTAGTGGTTCTGAATGCTTGAATGGATGTATTATTCTTAGACTATTAGTATTGTCCCTTTATCTATCACTTTCTTTTTCATTTTTCTCATATCAAGAACATTCTTGAAGCGAATCCGTAGATAAGTTTTTATTCGGTGGTTAATCTTTTTTGTTGAAGAGCTCAAATATCTGAGAATTTTGCGACTATTGGAGCATGAGTGGATCATTTGCCATAATCGGACTGAGCCAACTGCTTCAAAAGCTCTGTAATTGGGTCAGCATCGCAAGTAACTCATCGCTGCAGGGCCTATCCTCGGGCAATTCTGATGCGGACACACCCGCAATTCTCAATGCCAACACCATCTCTTCTTCTTCTTCTTCTTCCACCCCTTCACCTCTCATGCTTTTATCTACAGCTTCTCGCGGCTCCACTGATTCCTCGAGCCACCGTCCTACACTCCCCCCACTGCCACTCCCATCCTCTCGTTTCGACAATGGCCGCTCTCTCGGATCTCTACCAGTTAACAGAATGCTCAGTATCACCCCAAAGCTGAAAATGTCGCTCTTGTCAGAATACCTGTTCAAGATGAATGCCACCAAGCCATGGATTAAGGACGCAATTGTAATCAAGTTTCTTACCTAGAAAAGCAAAGGAGTATAATCATTAATGCAGAGAGAGAAAACGACATTGTAAAAAGTTCAGCTAAATTCAATGTGTTATCAACATCGTAAGCTTTAAATGAACTTTGACGGGTAATGCCTATTTGGGCAATCAATGTGTGTATACATCCAGGGGCATTTCTTTCATTTTCAAAGACCGCAACCACAGAGAATTTCAGGGAAGAGATTTGTTAACCCACAATCTAGGTTCAAACTCTACATCCAACAGCACATTTGCAGGCTTCAAATTGAAGTGAAGGATTCGAGGGTTACATTCAAAGTGAAGAAACTGAAGCCCTCTGGCAATCCCAACAGCACATTTGCAGGCAGCACATTTGCACGCTTCAAATTGAAGTGAAGAATTCGAGGGTTACATTCAAAATGAAGAAACTGAAGCCCTCTGGCAATCCCAACAGCACATTTGCAGGTTTCAAGTTGGAGTGAAGAATTCGAGGGTTACATTCAAAATGAACAAACTGAAGCCCTCTGACAATCCCAACCGCACATTTGCAGGCTTCAAATTGAAGTGAAGAATTCGAGGGTTACATTCAAAATGAAGAAACTGAAGCCCTCTTGCAATCCCAACAGCACATTTGCAGGCTTCAAGTTCAAGTGAAGAATTCGAGGGCTACATTCAAAATGAAGAAACTGAAGCCCTCTGAGAATCCCAACAGCACATTTGAATTCGAGGGTTACATTCAAAATGAAAAGCCCTCTGGCAATCTCAACAGCAATTCGTAGCCGAACTTCCCATCTAAGTTCCAATTTATTCTCTCGCACTTTCCTCATTGCGTCCTCAAGAGACCCAAACAGCAGCTGCCCATTTCGTGGACGTAAGCCCTTAAGCTCATCATATTCCGATGCTTCAAACCCCCGAGCACCGCCATCTGCTGCTGCATTCGCCGCCGTTACTCCGCCCTACCGCATTGAATGGGTTCGAGCTTCTTCACCGCCACTGTATGCCCATTGGCCAGAACAGCCCTGTAGCATTTCCCATTTGAGTTCGAACTCGAACCCAGCCAATGGGTTTCGCTCCGCCGCGCTGCCTGGAGAACATCGGCATCGATTTTTGGGGAAAAAATTAGGGGTCCTTCGAGAAGTGGGGTTCGGTTTAGGTAACCCACAAGGCTGCGGATGAAGCAACTAGAGAGAAAAACGCCAGCGAGTCCGGTGACGACCCCTAAGGCGACGCTGAGAAGAATCCTATGAAACCCGTTTTTGAAATGGGAAGTTTTAGAGAATGGCACGAAATGCTGGCAAGAGCCAACAAGGGCATCGCTTTAGGCGAAAAAGCGAGGAGACCCAAACACGAACAGCAAAGAGAAGAACCCCCATTATGATGAGTACAGAATCCAAAGGACAAATTCAAATTTTGATTCCACATGTGGTTTGTGTCCCTACTAATACAGGACACTACTAGAATTGATCAAATTTACTGAAACCATCTTTTTATCCTTACAACGTGGGGATGACAGCAGCGTAGGCGTAAGGTTTTACTTTTTGATACTTTAGGTTACCAAATATTATTTATTATTAGCACAATGTTAGTTGGGTTTGTTGTCTTATTCTGTGTTGCGTCCACCTTTCCTCTAAACATTGCTTCTTCATTTAAATATCTTATTTCCTAATCTCTTATATCTCAATATTAACAATACGTACTTGAATCCTTTACTAAAAAGCATTCCAAAAAAGAGTGACAACAAATGGAATGAGGCAAATGCGTCTTAGTGAAAATAAAACAATAATAATAAAGATTTACAAATATAGCAGAAAATGAAATGTGGTCGGATATGAACTCTTATCTGTGTATGTGGAAACCTATGTAAATTCTACTCTCCACTAATTTGGCCGTCGTCATAAAAAGGCACCAAAACCTTGTTGCTTATGTACACCATCTACTCATCTGCACTGCCTGCTTCGTATTCTACAGCTTATCCGCGATCCTGCCTAGAGCATCTGCGACCTTGTTCAGAACCGTCACTAACCCATCTGCGTGGTATCTTCGCTGCTCCCGGTCCAGCTGGAAGTTCATGTTTTGAGCTTCAAGTTGGGCACTCAGCAGTTTCCCATTCTTTTCCAGGATGCCAATCAACTCATCCTGCACCATCATACTTTCCTCCTCCCCCTCTTTTGCAATGCGCTTCCGCTTCCGTCCCTCTTGCAAATTCGATCCTATCTCCGGATTTGCTGCTGCTGCTGCTGCTGCTGCTGCTTCTCTCTCATTTGACGTGCCTGTTGCACACCAGATTGGGTTCACAATGAGTTATTATTGTCTCCACTCTTCCCAACAATTTGGGGATTCAGAACACCAACAAAAGAAAAACAGGCATCCGTCTTCATAATGTTGGACTCTGAAGCTTTGCCAGACCCAAATAAACAACACCTCTAACAAGATTTTAATCCAAGTTTTTGAGCCTTCACAGAACGGACACTCAAACTTTGACCACACTTACAGATTACAGCTAAAACATGATTCGCAGAGCCAGCTGAATTTTGAAACTGCGACGCTCGTAATGGAAAGGAGGGGGAGGGGTAAAAACAATAGGATTCACGAACGTACAGACACAAAAGCTTAGTGGGTACCAAAAAAGGGATTCTGACTGAAAGTTTGAAGCGCACAAGATAAAACATATCAAATCAACAATATAAGAAGATAGTGCTTTATTGACTTCATTATTCATCCGGAATTGAGAAGACAAAAAAAGAACTAATCTTTGCAGCTAATGAACATAGGCGTGCAACAGCACCAGAGATTTTTCATTCATCCTCGAAATGAAAGGTTGAACCATCAAACGACCACAATGATTATGAGCAAATACTTGTGTCTGAAGGAAGGGTTTACAACAGAGTCCCAGAATGAATATGTATTCGAATAGTACTTTGAGCTTACCTTGATCAGGACAATCTTGACTAGCAGGTTGGTACAGCTTCTCTGTAAATCAAGGGGAAAGAAATTGAAACTAGAAATAAATGGAGCTTCAAATCTTCTTCGAAGCCGACAGAACATATAAAATGGTTTTTTAAGAAGGGTGGAAGGAGAAAAGAATAACTGCCACATAAAGCTGCAAGAATCTCGAAACAACCAGGAAGATTTATCATTTAATTTTTTGAAACCGGATGTTTTGGAGACCACGCAGGTTGTAGAATGAGAATTAAACAAATAGAGAGAGATTTGAATTTGAGCCTTCTTCTCCAATTACCTGATAAAGGTGCCGGAGCAGGAATTTCCCCGTCGGGCGTCGGGACCGGAGCCTCCTTCCCCGGGACCTCCTTGATGGGGCTCTGGCTGGTTTCGTCCTGCTCGAAATCGGAAAACAAGCCGTCGTCCGCGGCCGCAGTTTTAAAACTATCGAAGACGTGCTCCGGCTCGGCGTCGTCGGAATTTAGGGCTGACGTGAGAGCGGGGACCGGAGGAGGAGCAGGAGCAGGAGCAAGGGCGAGAGCCAGAGCCGGCGACGGCGAAGGTGCCGAGCCGGATTCCAAGATATCATAAACCTCTCTGTCGAAAAACCCTGGCAATTTCCTCTCGCGCCTCAAATCGTTCCTCATGACCCAAAAGGATTCAGAATCATCCCTAATTTGGGACTCCCACTCCTTGATCTTCTTGAAGTCCCCAGCCAAATTGCTCCACCTCTTGCGGCACTGAACCGGACCCCGATTAACCCCATGCCTCTTACAGTAGGAGGAGACAGAGGCCCACTTGGGCTCGAGCTGGGCGGAACCAAAAGCGAGAGTAGCAGCCCGGGCTCCGCGAACCCTGGTCTCAGCAACCTTCTTTCCCTGTATGAGGACGAGAATCTCCTGGCGGGTCCAACGGGGGAGCCTGGGGGTTTTGCTGCCGTTGTCTCCGCCGTCAGATGAGATGGGGCGGGCGTCAAGGCCATTGGTGACGGCGTCGGGAACGGCGTCAACGGGAGTCGGGCCAAGGCTAAGCTGCTGCAAAGCCATATAAATATAAAGAGAGGGGAAAAAAAAAGAAAAAGAAAAAGAAAAATGATAAGAATATTGTTAAGAAGAAGAGCACGTGACTTAATGGAGATTGGAGAATGGTTTTGGGGAGACGTAAACGGGGATGTTTAGGGAGGGGCCGTTACGGCGTTTGGGATTCAGTTTGTCAGATCATCTCTCTCCGTAATACAGAGAGAGAGAGAGAGAGAGGTAGAAAAGGAGAGCAGCAGAAAGAGAAGAAGAAGAAGAAGAATTTGCCCTTAATGGCGTCGTGATCGGGTTCTTATTTCAAAATTGGTTTGGTTTTAGTTTAAAAATTAAAAATATAAATGGTTATTAAGGTTTTCCCAATTAGAATTAATTAAAATTGAATATAGGCTCATGGACTCCGTCTTAATTATGGTATATTAGTTTTGCAAGGGCGGCAGGGGGGAGGAGAGCTCATTCTCTTTCTCTCCCCCATTTGGCCCAATTGGGTGTAAATTCTTGGGAATATTACGCTAATTAGAAGCGTATTAGAACAAAAAGAGAAGGAAAAAGAAAAGGAAAAAGGAAATGGACAAAGGAAATGGACAAAGGAAATGGTCATAAATATTTAACCCTGAAAAAGGAAGTTGAGGAGGGAGGGCATCCTAATCCCTAATCCCTAATCCCTAATCCCTAATCCCACTAACTTTTTATGCCTAATCAACCTCCCTTCCTTCCTTACCCATTAAATCACTTGTCCTAATCTTCCAATATGGCCCCCCCACCCTCCAATAATAATTCTTTTCTTTTTCTTTTTCAATTTCAAAATAATAATGGATGAGGCACCCCACCACTCTCCCTCCCCTACAATCCAACCCCCTTTTTTCTTCGTTTCTCTCTCTATAAAGTCCACCTAAATCAAATTCACCATTGCATCATACATATATTTATATTTCTTAACCCTATGTTTATATTGTAGTTTATATTGTAGTTTAAATTGAAAAAAAGCGTTTTTAGGGCACAAACAAGCATGGATTTGGATATAGTGGAATAATATTGTCGTAATTATAACATTCATAATATTGTCTCCCTTTTCAATTTCAAAATAATAAATGTTGAGATATGTTGAGTGTGAAATTATCGACTGGGTTTGAGTTCACAAGAATCCAATTCGTCTCGTAAATAATAGAAGGACGACTCTCATTAGTTACACATTCAAGTGGCACAAAACAATACTAAGATGTGAGATGTATTATATGGGTTAAAAGTTTTCTATTTATTTATATATTAAATAAAAAATAGTTAATGATTAAGTATAAATAATTAACTTTATTATTATAAAGGGTGGTTGGTTGTAAACAAATTTTTAGCTATATTGACACTCTATCTTCACATTCAACCCTCTATTTGAGCCATCATTTAAGGACCTTAGCAATGTTTTAAGATCATTTCTTTTTTTATTCTGACTTTCACTCTTGTTATTTTGAATACTAAATATTAGACTTTTATTATTATTATTATTATTATTTGTTTCTATCCTTTTTCTATTACAATTTTTTTTTTTAAGGATTTAAAAATTATTCTGCCCATCCAGATTTTTACACAATAGAAGAACATTCCGTTATACCATAAACTTTCGATAAAATAGTAATTTTAATTTATTTTTAAAAAATGTAAATATATTTATTTATTTTTTATTTTTTATTTTAAAGATTTGTTGGAAAAATATCCACCAACATTAATATTTTATCAATATTTTTTATTGAGGTCATCGTAAAACGGCATTTCCATTAACCTTTTAAACCTTTTGTACACTTGGGAAAATATTACTAAATTTTTACTTTAATCACTCAAATATTTAGCTATATACATTAGAGTTTTTGTGTGATGTATAATAAAGATAAACCGAGGAAAAAAAAACATCTATGATAGAAGAACTCGTATCATTATTAAAAAAATTATATTTGATCTAATCATTTTCGTCAATTAATTTATTTTTTAGAACTATCTCTATAAACTTTTTTTTTATTTTTTAACTTAGATGATTGGTTTTAAAATCAACTTAAAAATAAATCTTTATAAGTCATTTTATTAAAAAAAAAAACTATATTAAAAATATTCCATATAATCTTGATTCTATTATAAAAAATATTTCCTAATTTAATTAATAAGATAATTATTTAATTTTATCACACGTAAAATATTAAAATCATAAATGGAAGATTTAAGTATGATTTATAACACATTGTGAAATTTAATGGTTGGCCAAAGAAAATATTAAATTATATCTCCTACCACTTTGTATGTTAAATATTTACCCTATCATTGATTTAATTAAAGCTATAATGTTATTTCTTTGTGCTAATATATGAAAATACACCTAAAAACATGTTAATGTTGTTATGTTATTTAGGAAGAAAAAAAACAATTTATTTTAAATAGATTCTCTAACTCTTTTTTTTATTTATTTTTATTTTAATTTAGATACAAAGGTTATGAACTATTTTTAGAGAGTACATATATACCTATTAAATACAGACGGAAGAGTTTGTAATTTAATTTAGTTTATTAGAAGAAAAAAACAAAACGTTTAAGGCAAGTTGTTTTGTTATTATTATTATTTATCAAAATTTAATTTCAAATTTTCATTTTAAATTATGATTTTCGTTTTTAAAAAATATTATTATAAATATGTAGAAAAGAGAGTGAAGCATATAACAGGTCGTTGTTGACTTAATGAAATTAAAATTTTAATATGGCATCTCAAATTAAAAATTTAGAATGGGGTAATATTTTGGTTCACACTGAATTTAAAATTTTAATAAAATAATGATGGATTGTATTTTGTATGGATTTGAGGAATCAGCAATAAGGATTGTATTTAAATTTGAAAATTGATTTGGAAGGTTAAAAGAATAAAAAAGATTATCCGTTTATTTTGAGTGTAGTTTTTTTTTTTTTTTTTTTTTTTTTTTTTTTTTTTTTTTTTTTTTTTTTTTT